GTCTGAAAAAAACAGGATGTAATGTACCAAAAATCTAAAATAATATCTTAAAAATATATTTTAGGCTAATCACTTAGTCTAAGAATGAAATCGTAAATGGGACATCACTATTGCTACTTTAGTTATTTTTGAATCCATACAACATATTAAGGATACATAACTTATATGTTATATATATATATTAGATATATGTCATATGAAAGTAAGTAAAAAAATGTGCTTCATTATCGCAGACTAAAAATGACTCACCAATTAGTATGGACCACGAAAAACTGAACCCTTTAAAGGCGGCCATAACGAACTGTTTTTGGCGCCCAAACCAAACATGGTGTAACATCTTCAGATCAATCCTATTACGGATCCGGTAAGTTAAAAAAATACTTTTTCTTTTAATATTAAAAAAAAAAGTTATGCAAACTCATTGGTGATATTGGTAGCGAACTTTAAGAACGAATTAAACTCAAATGTCAATAACGTAATTTAAACAGAATATTAAAGAATAAATTCCTTTATTTTATGTTTAAAAGGATTACATACAACATTTTAATAGTAACACGTTTGTCTTAACAGTATTACTAGCATGGCTTCAGTAGAACAATTGATCAATCATATTTTAATCTTAGTACGCATCTACTTAATACAATTACGTTTAACTCTAATGCCATATATTTCGCAAAGAATCCGTTCAAAAACATTTTAACTTTCACTTTTATTATCAGACGACATTTATTATATATAAATCAATTCATTTTCTTAGTTTTTGTATAACGCTAAAATTACACTATCGCCATTACATATGCAATAAATTTCAATGAATATTTAAATTTCGAATGATTTTGATTTCAGGAATAATTACGAGCCAAACAGTATTTATAAAACTGGACATATGAATGAGATATTCATGTTATTATTTTTTTAAAACTCGTTTCATTTCTAAGCTCAGATCGAACAGGTTTCTTCTTAAAATGTAAAGAAACAGTTTTTATTGTGGTAATTTTTTTTCAACCAATTGTACTCACAAATCTCAACGCACGTATGACGTATTTGAGAAATTCCAAGTAGTATTCTAAATTTGAAGTTCAATTTAAACTGTGATTAACATTTTCCTTAACTACATTATCTATTCTAACGTATGTTGCATATAATTTTTTTAAAAAAGAAAAGTTTCAAGGTAAACTATACTTAAAAATAATTTTTTTGGTAGTTATTCATATTAAAATATCAAATCATTTTCAGTGTCCGAGGCCGTAACGAGCACACGTCACCACGTGTAGAAATAAAGGTTAATAGTAATACTAACTTGTAAGAGGTCAGCGTATCACGATGCACTTTCGAAATAATATCTACTTGTTAAAATTATATATTCTGTAACCGCCACAGTCTCACTTTCTTGTATTGTATCACTTGTGGTTTGTAACACTGTAATACGCACAGGGGGAAGTTGCAATACGTACTATACGATCCCAGATCTGAAAAACACATACACTCACGACACCACAAAACATTATAAAACAAACATATATTATAACGTAACAAAATGTTTTAAACGAATTTAAATTAACGCGAAGTGTACACGGACAAGTATCTAAAGAAATTTTGCGAGACAATTATCAGATTACTGTCGTCAGGCGAAAGAAACTTTTTTCGGCGGACTTTTTGCTGAGGTTCCGTAACTCAGAACAAGTGGGGATCTTAGCTGAAGCGCACAGAATCTCTACATCATGCAGGCATGCGAAATTTTCACTAAACACTTTTCCACGCGGCCTTCACTGCATTGTTATGCAACTGCAGACATCACCGGTATGATATATTTGACATAAAAATATATATAATAATAAAAAATAATTTATATAATAGTTGTTTTATAATATTTGGTGGTGTGTCACTAGTTTTACCGATATCAGCGTGTTATGTTCTCGACGGCGCGTCACTCGCTACACGTCCACAGCGTCCGGTGTGTCGCGGTGTACTGAGCCGGCGAACAATTCGTAGTTCAAACGGCGAAAAGCTCATGAACGGCTAGCTCAATTGACTTCCTGAAAAATTTAACATTAATAAATACTTCATTTATAGACTTTTCTATTACGATATCAATATTTGATATGTTTTATATTTAATAAGAATAATTTAATATACAACATGTAATTAATTACATAAAATTACAACTAAAATCAAACTTATATTTTTTTATTTCCTTTAATGGCCAAATATTTTTTTATTACATTTAAAAATCGAATTTATCTAAACTGACACCTTAATTAAAAAATATGTATCGAATAATTAAGATCATGAGATATTAAATAAATTATAAAATATTTTACCGAATATAGAGATCATGACGCTTTAATAGATGTTGAGGTAGCACAGTTATTTGATAATTATATTTTATTGGTACACTTAATATTAAGTAACTCTACGCATTATGACTTCACGTTTAACGACAAGAACAATTTAGAAAAAAAAACAGATTCCTGTACATAATTATATAAATATTACTTTATTTGAATAAAAAGGACATAAACTTAAATATGTGTCATGATTCTCAGTTCCAAGTGAAAGATGTCTACTCAAGGTCAATAGTTTAAATACGGCGTCGTGTTTAGAGGAAGTCATGATAGGTGTGAAATATCATACTAATATTGAAAATAAATTAGTTTCACTTAAATTGTAAGTTGCTTAAATGTTATAAATTTACAAAAAAACACTTCACGGTTGTTTTACGAATAAATTAAAGTACTTTAATTATAACGCTATTGAAATTATAACTTGTATTTTTGAACCTGAATACAATGTATATAACAAAATCAAGCAACAGATAAATATTAAATTGCATATTTCAATCTAAAAGTTTTCCATCTTGCTGATAATTTATAATCAAAAAGATTTTATTTTATAAACTTGCCCACCAAGCGTCCAAAAAGCGCCAAAATTACGTCATGAGCATGACAATTCTGCCACGTTTTTCGTAACACTAAATGCGAAGCCCTCTATTTCCTCAACCAATAATCTTCATTAATACTATAATGTGCGAAGAATATATTATGAATAAAATACTAATAATATTTAGTGTGATAAATGATAATGCAAACTTGTGGTAAATATTATATTGAATTAAATAACTTTGAAGTTTGAACTAACCGTTTCTGTATAATGACGCCAACTCGTATTAAAGGCCTACTTCACTTTAATATAATAATAAAATACATATTATATTTACATAAAATTTACTTATTTATTAAACCATATTGTATGAAGCTAGAAAACAGTTTATATTGTAACAAGTATTTTATAAACTATAAGGACTTTTTTCGTAACTTCTTTTTAATCTAATAGTAGAAATAAAAACAGTTATGCCTCACATTGTAATAAAAGTAATCTGACGTTTATATTCTGAAAAATTTCTATGGCAGCCGTTTTGTATACGTTTAAAAATTGCGAGAAATTTTAAAACATACTCTATAAGAAAAATAAAACATTTTTATACAAAGATATTATAAAAAATTACTAAAATATAATATTATATATTTTATTACGGAATTATAATAATCAATTTGGTTAAACTGATGTCTTATTCTATTGTAATAATAATAATTCCGGTACAAAGAATCCATGGATTTTTGTTTATATTCAAGCTTAAAATACAAATAAAATACTAGAGAGAATTGATATGTTTTAAATAATATTTTATGTCTTACTTCGAAAGGAAGGCTATGCGTTTAAATTGATTGCACTTTTGTATGAAAACGTTTTAAGAACAAAACCTGACTAGATTTCTTATTAATTTATTATCTGTGGTTTAAGCAACTGCATCAAAACCCTATTGTATGTTTATGGCAAAAGTAAAAAAAAATATCGGTCCGAAACTTAATTTTATACTTTATTTGCATCTCAGTAATTTTCTTATTTTGTAGTAAATCCGTAGCATTTTAGGTGGTTTTGGATAATATTGACTAAAATAGGTAAAATAATAGTTTTCTTTTAGATAAAACTTTTCGATCTTAAAGTAAACTCATTGTTATTAGGATATACTAGTAGATCATAGCGTTAATAAAAAATAATATAAAAATATTTTCATATTCAGTAAATACATTTAATGTGAAAAATAATGTTTAAGAAGACTCCACTACCGCCATCTATGTATTTGATTTGAAAAAAATAGACCTTTTGTGAGTTGTGACATGATGCACATACAAGTTGTGTATAAAGTGAATACAATTTAAGGTGCACATTTGAATAAAGATAAAAATTACACAAATTTTAATGAAAATATTTTTTTCTTTAATTTAAATTTCATTGCTTCCAAGTAAAATTATTATTTGTTTAATATATAAACAATTAAACATATAATAAGTTAGTTAAAATAATAAAAAATTTTCATTTTTCAATTTCAATGCCTTTAAAATATGTAAGCGTCATCTAGTGTTCGATTTTCAAAAAATAAAAAGATTGATTTCAATAGATGGCACGAGGTTAGTATAAACAATAGTTTTTTTCTTAAATACAAGAATAATATACAAAAATTAGTTTTTTACAAAATAGTTTCTTTATATATAGTAAAAAAATAACATATGTTTCGTATTATTTTTAATATTATAAGTTATTATTAATATAAATTAAGATACTAAAAACAAAATCTACGATATAGGTAAGTAGAAACTATTTGTTAATATTTTATACAGAAAACTCAAGAATTATTTAAAATTCGAATAAAATAGTTGACTGACATTCCGCAATTTGAAAGTTACCTAAAACCTGGAAACGTCAGTTTTGTAGAGTTGATGCAAAGCGCCACGGCTCACTCATCACTGTTTTTATAAATTGACGATCACACGAAACACGTTTCGCAATCAGTAAAGTGTGTATTGTAAGTAATATTCTATACAATATAGTAATTAAATTAAATGTTTAAAGGCATATTTCGGTCCTTTAACTTTTTATATAAAAACCAAGTTCAAATTTCAATTTGTCATAAACGGCGCCTGTACAGTAAGATTGACAAAATGAAGGTTAGTTCACGTGCCTTAAAACTTTGTTATGTATAAATCTAATTTCTTTACAACGTGGTCTGGCTTGTGGCGATACAGATTTGTATTTACGTAATGCTTGTCAATAATTTGAATGGATAAATTTCGCGGTTGTGGTAACATGCTTGGTTTTACTCTTATGTTAAAAGACAATTTGAATCGTGTACAAATATAGCTAAATATTTATAATCAAAGAAATTCTTAGGCCAATCATCAGCTTATTTCTTTAAGTAATAAAAATGCTTGAAATTTTGACAAACTTTTGCGAGATTGTCAACAGAATTTGCCTATAACGGTATTTTGATTTCAGATCGGTACTCATGATGGCGTCTTTCATTGCGATGAGGTTTTCGCTTGTTACATGCTCCGTTTACTACCTGAATACAAAGATGCTGAGATCATTAGAACCAGGGATCCAGAAAAGCTCAAAGAATGTGACATAGTTGTGGATGTTGGCGCAGAGTTTGACCATGCGAAGAAGAGATATGATCACCACCAAAGAGAATTCAATGAGACCTTAAGTTCTTTGCGACCTGAATTGGGTGATAAATTTAAAATCAAGTAAATTTCTTTTTATTATAATTTAAAAACTTTTTAATAACTAGCATTAATTCCATTTCTTGAATTGGTCATCCAATTATTGATAACACAACACAAGTTAAAAATATTCGTTTTTTAAGAGTTTTAACTTGATTATTCATATTTCTTTATATTATAGGATTCTTTGAAATAAAAGTGTCAGTTTATTATCTCAAATACTTTTTATACTTACTATAAGTGTACTAAAATGAGTTTACGAGATATATATATTGTTTCCCTTAATGCCAACTACTGTGTATAATATAATTAAATATTAATTTTTTTCCATAGATTAAGCTCAGCGGGCCTTATTTATACATATTATGGTGAAAGAATCATTCAAGAATTAGCACCTAAAGGTTTTTGTCTCGACAAAGACAATCTAAGACTTATTTACAAAAAAGTATATGAATTTCTAATTGAAGAAATGGATGCAATAGATAATGGTGTTCCCATGACAGAAGAGGAACCAAAATATAAGATTCACACTCATTTGAGTGCTAGGATTCATCGGCTAAATCCTGAGTGGAACTCGTCTTTAGAGAAAAACGTAGATGAGAAATTTTATGCAGCTCTTACTTTAGTGAGTGAGGAATTTATGTATATGGTTAATTATTTCATGTCGATTTGGCTGCCAGCCAGGCAGTGTGTGCTTTCGGCTATAGAAGAGAGATTTGAAGTACATGAATCTGGACAAATAGTTGAATTTAAAGATCGTTTCCCATGGAAATCACATCTACATGATATAGAAGAAGATTTGGGAATTAAAAATGAAATTAAATATGTTGTGTTTCAAGATAAACCTGATTCATACAGAGTTCAGGCTGTTCCTGTTACCCCTAGCAGTTTTATAACAAGGTGTGTAAATTCATATGAACGAAACTAATATTACATTTTCATTATTATTATTTTATATTTTAGACTCCTATTTATGCTCTCAATGTTTCCATTATTTTGCATCAAAATTGATCACAAAGATAATGAAACTGTCCAACTTTATAGGAGTTGTATTCAAAATTTTTAAGACTTTGTATTCAAAATAAGGTGGTATAATTTTGGAATATTTTTTTACAGAAAACCACTCTCAAAGAAATGGTGGGGAGTTCGAGACGAATTACTTAGTGATGTCGCTGGAATACCAAATTGCATCTTCTGTCATGCCACGGGTTTCATTGGCGGTAATAAAACGAGGGATGGAGCATTACAAATGGCTTTAATAAGCCTGAAATCAAATGATGTTATGCATAATAATGATGCATAAATATTACTTGTATAGCATCTTTAGAGTTTGTATTATGAAAGGTTTTATAAGTGTACTTCAATACTATAGTTGAACTTAAATCCAGTGGTTTATATAACAAATGTTTGTACTGTTGATCATTGAAACAAATCTTTGCATGTTATACAGTTTGAAAATAGGTTTGATAATGAAAATGTTAACAAGAAACTTTAACAATGCCAAGATGGTGTATGGATGTTGATACCAAATGGCAATCCTTTGCAATCAAAACCAGAATCATTTATATAGAGGTGGATTATTTAATGGATTTAAATTTAATACCTTGTTGTAAACAATTTTACTGTAGTTGTGATTTTAGATTATTAAATTTCAGGATAGTGATGTACTTTCATTTGAGTTAAGAACTTTCAGCAATTTGAAAATGTTCTTATGTGAAATTGTGTCAAAAGTTTTTTGTTGTTAGTGAAATCTAAATGCAGATGTTTATTTAATTCTTCATATTGGATATCAGTCATTAGACTGTAATTCCTATCAAAGCAGGTTGTCCTATCCTTCAGTGAGCATTAATTACTTTTGCTATACTTTAGAGTTTTTTTTTTAATTGAAAAACAAGATATTAAGCTTATAGAATGGTAATTACGTATATCATATAGGTCACTCATACTTATTTATTCATGTTGTAAATGTAAAATAAGAATAAAACAACATTTAAAGGTTTAGTCTTCTTACAAAACTCTGTGAATTTCTTTTGTTTTAAACAATTCATATTTTCTAAATCGATTACTGTTTTAAATAACAAATATCTATGTAATACATTTTCTTTTAAGTTGCTACACTGCTCTATCCATGATTGTTCGGTTGTTAAGTTCTTTTTGCTTCGTTGATTGATTCGCTCGTAGATAAAGTTTCTTGCTCATTGTTAAAATCTTTGTCTTTTCCACTTTTAATGTTGGTTTTACTGTTTCCAATTTTTTTCTCTGTAAACGTCCTTGCTGTGATTATATCATCATTATTGCATTCTTCAGACACATTATTATTTTCTCTACAGTGGTTTGTAGAGGTTCTGAAGAAAAATCACAGGTTTCAAAGCAGCTTTTTACTGCAAGGGTTGTTATGTTTTGTCAAGATTTGTCCACAATCCTTATTGCTTGAAATAAATTTATAGAATAAATGGTATTTTGCTCCATGTCAGTATAATTTATAGGGTGCCTGGACATTAATATCTTCAACATTGTGAACTTGGGCTAATGCAGTTTTATCAGCATTAGGAATTTGTTGAACTTAAGTTTCTTGGTTATTTGAGAGTTGGGTATTCGTATCAATGTTTAATTGTTGTCTGTGCGTTATTTTGGGATATGTTTGGATCGATTGGATCGAACTCAATGGGCCACAAGATATATATTCCTGCAGATCTGAGTCCACTTGCTGTTTTTTTGTAGGTCTGCATCTGCAATGCAATGCAGATTCCTTGACAGAATCAATACTGTTAAATTAAAAAATTATAATACATAATTTCCAAATCAGAAAGATAGTTGAATGCTCTAACCTCTGTATTGCGGCGTTTTCCTTTGTTGTTTCTGTCCCCTAAAAATGCCAGTGCTTCACAGGCAAACCATGAACTTTTGTATATTTCATCTGCACCTGAGAAATCAATTACAATCAATAAACATGTTTTCATTTTTTTGAAATAAATAACATTGTTTCGTAATATTTTTAATATTATAAGTTATTATTAGTATAAATTAATTTACCAAGGGTTTTTGTTAGGAATAGGTTAATATAAGGAAGGTGCACTTGTTCCTATTTTTACTTAAATGCGTCAGAAGGTGTGGTTCAATGAAATATAGAAATTGAAATAATCATACATTATTTATTCATGTTGTAAATGTAACATAACAATAAAACAACACTTAAAGATTTAGTCAACTTAAAAAACTCTGTGAATTTCTTTTGTTTCAAACAATTCATAGTTTCTAAATTGATTACATTTTCCAATAACAAATATCTAATATGTAATACATTATCTTTTAAGTTGCTACACTTCTCTATAAATGATTGTTCGGTCGTTAAGTTCTTTTTGCTTCGTTGGTACCCCAAAGTCTTTTTTGTCGCTCATCACTCTCTTCCACTCGTTTCTTTTTTTTTGTTATATGTTTCGGCATTGTTTGGAATGATCTTTTTCTAAACGTTTGATTATCCACCAGTTTTCTTGAAAGAGCAATTCTAAATTCTTTTTGGTTCATAACGCTGTGCACTCGGATGTTTGTTTTGTATATTAAATACGCATTAGTTATCGCAACATCTATAAAAAAGTAGAAAATTCGAGTCCACCACTTGCGACTTCTTCTACCTACAGCATAATGTGGTCGTAATTGGTCGAAATGATCGCCTCCACCCATACGTTTTGTATATTCTGGAATAAGTAAAGGGCATCTGATAGACTTTTTTGAGCCATCTTTTTGGGTCTTGTTGCAATTTCTTTTTTGTTTGGGATGGAATGCTGTGCTAACAACATTAACTTGTTTGGTATCTTTCCAAACAGCAAATCCTACGTTCTTTTTCACTCTCCATTTCCATTTTCCTTTCTTCAGTTTTTTTATCTTTGTACTTGCCTTACTAGCTGCTACAGACATCCTCTCATCTTCTTCTCTGTTTCTGGAAACAGAGACTGGTCTTTTTTATGTTTCTTTACCAAAAGAGGTAAATCAGATGGACCTTTTTGAGACATGTTTGATGTAGCGTGCATCGTCAGCTTACGGTAACCGACAGGTAATCTTTCTGAAAAAAGAATCGCGAATCGAATCGCGAGCGAATTATTTACGTCACTGGCCCAACGTCCTTAAAGCTGGCATCCTACCCAACCATCGGATGATTTCAGAAAACAATGATTTTCATCATTACCATACAGACAAATTGTATAGGGTGTCTCACGGAAAATTTCGAATTTAAAAAGGCTATAAAAAAAGAACGACTCGATAGATTTCAATGATCAAACATTTATTTGAAAGCATAATTCATGACATTATTTGTGAAAAATTATCTCGGTCAAATGTCCACCACAGCTTACTTGGCAGTACCCTATTCGATCAGTCCAATTTTTCAGTACATTTTCAATTGTTTCCGGCCTTATGGCAGCAATGGCAACTTCAATTTCATGTTTCAAGTCATCAATCGTGCTTGGCTTGTTGGCGTAACAAACGTCTTTGACCGCTCCCCAAAGGTAATAATCCAATGGTGTTAAATCGCAGCTTCTTGGAGGCCAATTCACATCACCATTTTTGCTGATTATGCGATTTTCGAAGATTGGGCGCAAAACATCGACCGTAGCATGGGCTGTATGGCACGTAGCCCCGTCCTGTTGAAACCAAATATCGTCCAAATCATACTCTTCCATTTGACCGAAAAACCAATCAGTTAACATAGCGCGGTAGCGCTCGCCGTTGACGGTTACGGCGGCTCCTTCATCATTTTCAAAAAAAAAATGGGCCGATGATGCCGCCGGACCAAAATCCGCACCAAACAGTCACTCGTTGTGGATGTATCGGTTTCTCCTCAACGACGTGCGGGTTTTCTGTGCCCCATATACGGCAGTTTTGTTTATTTACATAACCGCCGAGGTGAAAATGAGCCTCGTCGGAAAAGATGATTTTTCGATAAAACTCACCATCTTCGGCCAAACGATCTTCCGCCCAATTTGCGAACCGTAGACGTTTCGGATGATCAATTGGCTTCAGCTGTTGGGCCAACTGAACTTTATATGGCTTCAGGGCAAGATCTTTGCGCAAAATTCGGTGCGTAGTTGACCGAGAAAGGTGCAACTCTTGCGCTCGATGACGAATCGATGTGGATGGCCGTTCACGAACACTTTGTTCCACCGCAGCGATGTTTTCGGTTGACCTTGCTGGAAATGGACGTTTACGTGTTGTTTTATCCAACAGTGATCCAGTTTCGCGCACACGATTCACAAATTGCCGCACATATGCCTCCGATGGCAAATCTTTTTTGGCAAATATTTTTTTCAAATTTCGCACAGTTTGCGTTGGCGATTCACCACTTTGGAAATAATTTTTTAATATTTCCCAGCTTTCCTCAAGCGAATAGCGACCCATTTCGTAAATGTCAGACTTATTACTAAATATGTGACACTTCTCCGATGACAGTTGACGTCTCCAATGTCAAATTATCGTTAGTTCAAATTCGAAACGCTAGATGGGACACCCGTTATCTTCATAATCGTCAGTTTTCATTTTAGCTGCAACTGTAGTCTTTTGTTTCTTTTTAGCATTTTTTTGAGCCGAAGCTCATTAGGATTGGATACTTTCTTCAGTTTTTTCGAATTCTCCAGCTCATTTTTATAAGAAAAAAGAAAGAAAATTTTTATTTGAGACACGTAGGTAGGTATACATAAGAACAAAGAAAATTACAAATTAAAAAATAAACATCGGAATAAAGAATAAAACTTATGACTAATTAATTATAATATACCTACACCAAAAAAAAAAATCAAAACTTAGGGTAAAAAGGAATCAAAACAAAACAAAAGGAAAAAATAATAAACATAAAATACATATGACGTGGCCCAAAAAGGTATACCATTCAGCGTAGAAGGTTACACCTTATGCTGATTTTCAATGGTACCCACTTTGACACTGACTGGTGTGGCAGTGAACAAGTTTATAAATAATAAGTATTATTGCGATAAATAAATAAATAAAAGTTATAAAAACAATAAAAATTAATACTACAAATTATTACCTAAATATTATTCCATACATTAAATAGTAATTACAAAAACCTGCATAATGCACATCATCAAAACCTATCGGCAGAATGAGAACCTGACCAACTGAAGTATTAGAACAAATTATTTTATTTATTTTTTTATTTATTTGAAACACCATCGGCATATTCACAATAACACTTATGAAATAACAGTATACGGATCGGTGCAGTGTGATACACCACTACAGGCATTTACAGCACTGTTAAATTAAAAACAAAGTAACACGCTCTTAAGTAATATTAAAAACTTAAATACAGTAGAATCTCTTTATTCGTGGGGTATATGTTCCATAAATATGCCGCGAATACAGAAACCGTGAATACAGAATGGTAATTTATATGGGTTTATAGGGGATACGTTCCTAGGTGCCAAAATAAAAAACACAAATATATAAGAAAATCAATTTTATTGATGTTATTGAACATTTTGATTAATCATTATCCTCAGGCTTAGGCAATGGTTTGAAAAATTTTGTTATTTTCTCTTGCTTGGCAGTTTTTAATAGCTCCGACAATTCAGACTGATACTCAGCAGTCGCATTAGCAATTTGCCTCTTAAAATTAAGACTTCGTTCCATAGATGGATCAATGTTCACAAAGAAATCGCAAAGCTCATTTGCCATTCTTAAACCTTCACTAAGATTTTTCAGAGTAAATGTCACATTTTCAGTGCTAGTGGAAGCCTCTTCTTCAATGGGCTGTGAATTTAACATTTCCTCCAAGTCGGTTTCAGTCAAATCTTCATCTTGCGATTCAAGCAATTCCTGAATGTCACTTGATTCTATCTGTTCGAACCCATCTCGTCCTATTCCATTTGCAATTTCGGCTATGTTTGCAGTCAAAGTTTGAACTTGCACGGATTCTTCGTCATTTTCCGCAATCAGAGCAGGCCATAGTTTTTTTTCCAGCATGACTTCAATGTGAGTGGTTTCAGTTCTTCCAATGATTCTTTTATGTGTTTACGACGCATTTTGCTATTTCAAATTTCTTCCAGCATTCCATAACATTCATATCAGGATCACACTCCATATTATCCAATACGATTTTGAATGTTCGTCTGATGTAATAGAGCTTAAAGGCCTGGATTATTCCTTGGTCCATAGGTTGAAGCAAAGCCGTCGTGTTTGGAGGTAAAAATGACACTTTTATATTTGGATGCATAGCTTCAAGTTCGCGAGGATGACCTGGTGCATTGTCCAAAACTAGAAGTGCCTTAAAGTCTAAATTCTTTTTTTTCAAGTAAATTTCAACTTCCTTAACAAAACAATTCCGAAACCAGTCACAAAATACAGCGCTTGTTACCCATGCTTTCTTATTAGCACGCCAAAACACTGTCAGGTTGTCCTTGTTTTGATTTTTTAAAGCACGTGGATTTAGCGATCTGTAAAGCATCAGTGGCTTAATGACACAATCTCCAGATGCATTAGAACATAGCAGCAGTGTAACTCTATCCTTTGCTGCCTTAAATCCAGGAGCAGACTTTTCGCTTTTAGAAATGAATGTTTTGTTCGGCATTCTCTTCCAAAACAGTGCAGTTTCGTCTGCATTAAATACTTGCTCAGGTTTGTATCCTCCATCAGCTACTAGGTTTGCAAAGTCTTCTGGATACCGTTCTGCTGCAGCAGTATCTGCTGATGCAGCTTCTCCTACAATTTTAATGTTATGCAATGATTGTCTTAGTTTAAATTTATTGAACCAACCTTCCGATGCCTGAAATCCTCTATCTGTACATTCACCACTACAACTACCATCAGGTTCTTTAAAATGAGCGTAAAGACGCTTTGCCTTCTCCCGGATCAATGGACCACTCAGGGGAACCCTTTTTTGGTTGCGGTCTTCTATCCATAATGACAACGCCACTTCCATTTTTTCTATTGCTGGATCACGAACAATTTTCGCCGACAATGAAGTTGAAGCTACAGATGATCTTATTTTATCTTCGGATTTTTTTATTGATCGTACAGTTGATTCGTTGACATTGAATGAGCGTGATATGGATGCAAATGACTCTCCAAGGCGTAAACGATCAAGCATTTCTATTTTCACTTTAAGCGGTAACACAGATTTTTTTCGTGTAGAAACGCGTTTCTCAATTTTTTTAGTTGACATTATTAATTACGAAGAACGAAGCGAGCAGTAGAGACCTGTTACTCGATCACAATTTTTGTAACGAATGTGAAAGATAAAACAATAAAATAGGCAAAGCGGCTTTTACCAAAGAACGGAACAGCAACATTTAAAAATATACTTTATTTTTTCAGAAATAAGATTGCTTTCTTCTGTTTGTTTACATTTTCAAAAACGCCGACCGGCGGTGTTTGCGGCAAATGCGACAAAGGCGGCTTAGGTCAAAGTGCTCGGCGGTACCATTTAACGGCACTTGCAAAAGATATTGCGTTAAACACCTATTGGAATTTTGTATGAAATTTTAGATCCGCGAATAAAGAAATTTTTTGCCGCGAATAAAGAAATTGGGTTGCATTTTTTAAATCCGCGAATAGTGAAAACGCGAATGACGGAAGCGCGAATAGGGAGCTTTTACTGTACTATTAAAAACTTATATAATATCAAAAACTTAAGCTAGAATAAACATAAACTAATAAGGTTTAAGGCCATAAATACAATACAGGCAATAAAAACAAAATAAAGAATAATAAGCCATTAAAAATAATTTTTAAAAATAAAAGTATAATAACAACATACTAATGAAACTACTCATAGCGTAAATTAAGGATTTCTTAAAACTAAATAAATTTTGGTGGTGGATATCGATGTCAAATCTGTTACACAAGGGGTGAAATCGGGTGTACAAGTGTACAAGCGGATATGCCGCGGATCACCTCGTGATCGTAATTCCGCCGACCGTGGTTTGTGACGCAACCAGTAACCAGGCACAATAGCACCTCTGCCGTCCTCTCCCGAGCGCTACCACGTCTCGCTGATAACTATCACATCTGCGTCGTGACGCTGCATAAGCACAATAAACTCGTCATTATGTGAGCCGAGCGAGCCCGGTTTAAATAAACTAAATTTAAGATTTTTAACATTAATCATTTTTAAAAGTGAATAAAATACCAAAATGTATAATATAAAATATAAACAAAAATATACGAAATATATGCACAACGTATAATATATATGACCTTTATACTAAATATAACAGCTAAATCTGTATGAATAATGAAAAAAGATTCAAAGTTAATTTAATGTAGAAAATATAGGAATATCTTAATTTTATGTTAGGTTCAAATAAATAAAAATATTTTATTTAACTGGCCGGGGACACGTCATTGTTGGTTGGATTATTTTGCAACCCTAAAAAAAAAATAATTAGAGGTATAAAACAATCCAAAGAGAAATATTACTATAAAGGTAAATAATAACAATATGAAAAAAGTATTGTAATTGAAATACGGAACTCCTATATTATTATTAGTCAATTTCAAATTATCTTGAGCCAAAAATTTTACATATATCGTTTTCTGTTCGAATACGTTGTACTGCCGTATCAGCCTCGCGTCGTGTGTGTATTCTTCCTTCCCGCGTCCATATGAAGCGCCAGCCGTGTTCTACTCCTCCCTGGCCTTATAAAAAAACACGTGATTAAAAGGTGTCAGGTATTCGTTGATGTAGATTCGAGAGGGATTGCCGTCGGTGACGCCTGAAGTATCTGTGCCGCGTCGCACCCGCGCCGCCTTTTTTTAATATTTTTATTGACAAAAAACATAGGAATCTTATGAAAAAACTAAAATAAACTTCTTATAAGTTTTAACAAAAATAATATTCTTTTTTTCAATTGAAGTTAAATAAAGCATATAAAAAAAAATATATTGTTAAAATACTTAAAAAATAAACAATCATGGAATACTGTTGAGAAATAAGATTTGGTCAATCTTTTTTGGTGCTAGACGGTTTGTTCTATCATTGCACAAAATCCAATTTTTTGAAAATAAGTCCGTGATAATCACCTGCAGTAGTACCATCTTTAAAAAGTAGTTTTGTCAGATTTAAAAACCCTCCTCTTGATCCCGCGTGAACAAGATCAAGCCTGTTTGTGGAGCTTGTGTCTGTCAACACGGCGTCGATCATTTAATTTTTTTAAAAGTGAGGTTATTATCTATCCATGTTTCATCTAGAAAAAAAATATTTCGATCGTCTTGCCTGTATTGACGAATTTTCCGCAAATAATTAATTTGACAGTGCATATACAACAACAGGCCTTTCCACCAGGATTCTGCGTTTATTATGAGATTTGAGCTTAAAGTTATATTGGTGCACTCGACGAATTAAAAGCGCGTCCTCGCGTATTTGGTTCCTGATAACCCGGAATGCGGATTCGCATTTCCATCTTCTTCCTCGAGTGACTTTCTTCTTTATAAACGAGTTGTTTGACCCAACCCCAAAAAAAGGAGCCGAGTGACGTTAAGGGTAGGTTCAGATGACAAGCGCTCAGCGCGCGTTTAACTTGTTTAGGAATAATTTTTTTAAAGAAAAAATAACATTTTGTTACTCGCAGAATAACTCTAACTCTGATTCATTGCTGACATTAGTTGGTGCTGGCGATGGAGTAAGTGTTACTGGCGATGGAGACCCCATTGCTGTAGTATAACCATAATGTGCGAAATTATTTGACACACTAGACTGTTGTGATCTATAATCATGATAACGAAAGCCTTCAACAGAAGCTGATGACTGATGACCGCTGCTCTTGTGATGAATAATTTCTTCGTTGTGATACCGGGTAATTTTGATTTTCATATGTCTGTTGTTGTGGTCCTTGAAATTCATTTTGGTTTTGCAAAATTAAATTATAAATGGCAATTTTAGTTTGAAGTCGCCTATATTCCGGAATTTTTTAAATCTCTTTAACGAGTGACAAACAAAACAGCTTGTCTTCATCGTCATCTTTTGGATGAGACACATTTTTCTGTGCTAAACTCTGCTCTAATATGTTTGCAAATCTTTCATCAGCAGGATTTAATTTTTGTTTTTTTCTTGAAGTAGATTTAGAACTCTTAAAGCCAGAACTTATTTCTACTTCAGCAACCTCTGACGAAGTTGATGCATTATCTGCATCGAAACTACTTTCTGTATCTTTGTTGGCAATTGATGCCTGTAGAAATCGTAGTCTATTATAATGAATATATGTCGAAGTTTTGGAAGCTCCTGATCCAGATTTGGCAGTCTTTGTTTTCTTCACCTCTCTCATATAATTATCCCGTAAACTCTTCGTCTATCCGCGTCGAAAGCGCGCGCTCAACTGAACGGAAACATAGAAAACCAATGATCTCAAAGCACGCGTTAAAGCGCGTTGACGCGCGCTGACAACAGTCGAGCGCTAGCGCAGCGTTGAACGCGCGCGTTAGCATGTGTACGGCCTGAATAAAATGAATGTAGTTGTAAACGCGCGTTGAGCAATGGTCATCTGAACCTACCCTGAGTCAGGTGACCGTGGTGGCCACGCCTCGGGACATCAGTCTGTCCGTCTTCCTATCCAGCGGCCATAAAACAATTCGTTTAACCGCGACCGCACTTCTGTTGAAATGTCAGGGGGTGCTCCATCGTGTTGAAACCACACATTTCGGAACTCGGCTAGTGGCAATCTCTCGAGGTTGCGCGACAGTGCCATTAAGGACAGCCAGATACCTCACACGGTTCTGAGTCCCTGGGATGACGACAGGCCCTATGATTTCGTTTCACTTTATCCCAGACCACACATTCAGTGACCATAGAATCTGATGCGCTAACGGCCGAGTGGCACACGGATTATGGCCTCTTTCTGCCCAGTGATGGCATACATGGCGATTTCAAATGCCATTGCGCCTAAATAGGCTTTCGTCTGACCATATGACGTTTTCGATGAAGTGGGTGTACTCCGCGCATCGCTGCGGTGCCCACTGGTAATAAGTTAACCGGCGCTTGTGGTCAGCTGTACTAAACAGAGCTGGTACTTTTTGAAGTGAGTACGGATGCTGCTTGTTTTTCTTTAAAACTTTAAAGACTGCGACGTGACTCGTATTGAAAGGACGGCTGGCTCTTCAGTGAATTTGTTTGTCAAACTTGCATCCACCAAAAAGTAAAATATCCGCAGCCACTAACGTTTATGTATTTATTTATTTTGGAAATACCATCGGCATATATGTGGAAAAAAATATAAAAAAGTAAACTTGTTCAGTGTGATACACCATTACATTATACTACTTACATGCAGGGCCGGGTTATGCCAGTCGAGGCCCCTAGGCAATGCTCATCCAGGGCCCCCTACCCTCTTCTAATCTTTTCGTTAACACAACAAAATACAAAATTACACCGTTTTTTACTAACCTGGGTATATCATCATATTATTCAATAAAAATGTTGAATCAAATGAACAGAATGTTTATTTATGCATTTAAAAAAAACATACATAGCTTAAATATTAGCTCTTCTAACTTTTTTGATACAAAATCGTTCAAGATATCCTGAAAGGTAGTCTTCTCCAACACGTCATTTTCAATTGCCATTATAGCCAATGAATTTAAATTGTTTTGAGGTTGATGTTCCTTTAATTCGCGACTAAATCCGAGTTCGAAAAGGTTTTGTGTCTTCTTTAACTGTTCATTAAGTTTATTTTGTTGCTCTTGCCGCTTTTTACGTTTTTCGGAACCACTTTGATGCTTTTACTTTACGGGTACCTCCAACATTTTGTTCCTGAAAGGAATAATCTTTTGTTTTAAAACAGTAAAGAAAATTTCACCTTAGCAGCTCAAACACTATAATAATAATAATAGTTTCCTGCTTAATATTAATAAACACCCAAAGTAAAAAATATTTAATAACAGAAATTAATTAAAATATCCAATTGAATAATAAAACGACACTTCACATTTGTCAAATCTTGTAGGCTGTATCAGGTAATAAAATATGTAAAAAATAATAAAACTTACGTAAAGTAATTTTAACTTCAGTTGATGAAACTTTAGTTTCCACTACACTGTTTTTAACCCGTCGTTTCACCGATTTTCACAAAGCCTGAAGCACTTCTGCAGTCTTTATAAATAAATATCCAACACTTAGCCTTAAATTCGTAATTTTTGAAACACAAATTGTAAAACTCTCTTTTTATTCACAGCCGTTAAACTCGCAAACGAATTGCACGAAGTAAAAATTGAACGATTTAATTGAAAATGGTTCGAAAATAATGTCTATGACACATCATACAATACGTATTTAACGACTCGGGGAATTCCCCGGTCATGCCAACGAACCAGTACTGCCAACCTTATGAAAGTAGCTTGGCCATAGAATATACATACTTGGTAGGTACCAGTATAGTAAGTGTGCATTCACAACAAAGAGTTTTGAGCGTTTTTAATTAACCCTTTCCCCCCGGGGTAGTGATTTTTAACGAATTTCCGCTTTTGAACTTTATTTTCATAATAAGGTAGGTAAAATTAAAAACACAGATTTTTTTTAGATTTTTATTATAGTTAGAAGTACTATTTCCAAGACCTAGACTTATAAGTACCGTCAGGAACTTCGTGTTAACAGAGTGGTAGGAACTTTGATAGAAACTACAAAAATAATGAGATCCACTATTGACTTAGCAGTAATTAAATTAATGACTTAAGTAGTAGTAATAAAAAAAAAAATTACAGGTTAACCTCGTGGTATTCAATAAAACAATTTTTCTTTTCGTTTACACACAAAAACACGTTGCAATGCGAACATTTACTATGAGGTTTCGACTGAATCTTCTTCAAACTACAAACCTCACACCTTCCCCTGTTCTCTACAAACGTAGGCCAATGGATGCCTCTGTTACCTAAGCGTACGTCTTTTATAGTGGAGTAGTCAGATTTGCGTCTTTTGGAAGGGCCGCCTTTTGCAGTATTGTCAGTAGAAGTCTTTCTTTTCTGACTAGCATCTTTCATTGTCATCAAGCCTTGAGTAACAGAACGTCTAAAATCTTTTACGGTAGTCTGTTCCATTATAAGTCCATGAATGACATATGCATTGACAAATACGATGTCCAGAAGACCCCAAAACAATCTGTGCCACCATTTCGGAGATTTGCGATCTATACAGTAAAGGGCTCTCAAACGATCAGCTGTATCTACGCCGCCCATATACATATTGTAATCTTTGACAGCTATAGGGCATGTAATGGCTGACTTGGTTCCATTTTTTTTCTTTACGTGACACAGTTGCCTCTTCGTTCCCGTGAAAATTAGACACTAAATGAACCATTTTATTATCCTTCCATTTCCAATATCCAATGTCTAAATTTGAAAATCGATGATCACTATCGCCCCTTTTCAATTGAGAATCAGCGAGCATATTTCCGGGCAGTCCTTTTCTGTTACTTCGGATAGTTCCACATGCGTAGGTGTTTTCAGTTTTCAGTTTCTCAAGTAAAGCCACAGACGTGAAAAAATTATCAAAGTAAACTACCTTCCCCTTACTCCAATCTTGTTCCGTTAACTCCAAAACTACTTTCTCTCCTAATCCATAGCCGGTAAATTTTGTGTTCAGTTCTTCGTCTTTCCCTTGGTAAATTTGAAACTTCTTTATATACCCCCTCTGGTCAGCAAGACACCACAGTTTGTACCCCCTTTTTATGGGCTTCATAGGTAGATACTGTTTTAGGACAGACCTACCTTTGAATTTAATCATGGACTCATCTACACTCAGTTCGCGAGTACCATGATAAACCATTTCAAATTTTTTATTGAGTGCATCAATCATTGGTCTAATTTTATATAATTTATCTTTGCAGCCTGAAGGCATTTTGGAGCTATCATTGCAATGCAGATGAGATAAAATAATAGCGAACCTGTCTCTAGGCAAAGTCTTGCAAATAAGCGCGTTGTTGAGATCAGGTGCCGAAGAGTAGTGGTCTCTCCACGCCGGACGAGTATTGTAACCCATAAAAAAATTAATACCTATAAATGTTAGGAGTTCCTCTTTTTTTAGGTTCAATACTTTGCTTTTCTGAGTAGCATAAAGGTTACTTTGGTATACAATATTGTCAACAATGTCATCAATCAATACTAAAAATATATCAGTCGGTGTGGTACAGTGAGCAAACCAGTCATCTACTACTCCAGTATCCGCAATGTATTCCGGTAAAGATGTACTTAGGTCCCTCTTTTTCCATTTACGGTTTGGTTCGGGTAATCGCTGGTTAGTTCGGTGTGAAGAGTTATTTGCAGATGGTAGATCAGGCTGAACACTAGGTGCAGGTAATGAAGATGTGGGTACCTGATTTATTGGGTACTCCAATACATCTTCATTTGACGGCGACGACGGCGGAACTTCGGCCAAAACATCTTCTATAGCTCTTTCAAAAATTTCATCGAAACCTCTTGGCGAGGGTAGTTGAACATTTTCCACTTCATCATCGGACACACCTGCATCAGACGCTTCGTCGCAGTCCGGAAGCTCTTCTAATAACAGGGCTTCAATTAGAGCCGTATTGTTTTTAATATCCATCTCAATTCCTAAAACAATAAAAACCTTGATTAGAACAATAATAAAAAAAAATAACATGGGTTTATAAAAATAATAATAAAATAAAATAACCACTTCATCGTATACATGTATTATAAAAAATCATAATATTTGAGACTAGAATCACCTGACGGTACTTTTAAGTCCGCAGTAGTTTTTATCAAATATTCGTATGAAATATCGTGATAATACATTATAACAGCTTTTAGAAATATAGCCAATGATATAAACAACGTAAATAGTAAAAAAAATAGCACTTACCTGTGATATTCTACTTATAAAACTTTTTTTATTTCACTGCACAACGAAATGAAAAAACAATCGACAAGTTGTGACAAGAATTTCAATTTTTACGCCAATGTCGCGCGGTAATTCAATTAACGCGCTGTGATTGGCTGACGGAAACGGTACTCTAAAGGATCGTCAGTTGCCGTTCACGTAAAGTGTTTTCGTACTAAAGATATTAGACGAAAAATGTGGTGGTACTTCTAAGTACCGTAAGGAGGGAAAGGGTTAAATTACCGCGATAAAATTGCTTGCAATTATATTACTGCGTTATAAACTTTTAAACTATAATAATAATCATAATTATAATATCTAATAAGGTATGCGTTCCGAAATGTACTAAAATAGCGTCGATGTAATGTACAGAGCAAATTTTCAAATTATTTTTTTACTGTTTAAGAAACATTGCCCATTCTTTTACCTGTAGCACAGGGGCCCCTGAACGTGGCAGGGCCCCTAGGCAGTTGCCTATAATGCCTAATGGATAAAACGGCCCTGCTTACATGATAACAAAAGTAACTAAATGTAAGGTAAACACTACACTAAGACATTTAGAGAACCTGAATACAATAAGATAACAAACATTTAAATATCAATTACTAACTAAAACAGTATTTATTTATTTTTTTAAACTATCATTACTTTGGCTGTATATGACTTTCTGTCTAAAGAATCACTAGCCAAGTTACTATCTACAAAACCCTGTAATTTGCTATTATCCTTACAAAATTTTAAACAATAAGTTTTTGTACACAGCAAATATTTTAAAATGCGTTTAGCATATTGCCAATGACTATAAAATATGTAACAGCTATTTAATTAGCTCAGATAACTAACTGAAAGTTAGTTGATAACTGCATAACTGGTCCGAGAAATCAATGCCCTTTTTTTTAATTTTATTCTTAAACTACTTTGTGGTTAAACAACTTTATTTCTCATAAAGAACATACAATTTTCGCTTAAATGAGATGTACTACATAATTTAATTTAAATAACAATTTAGTATAGTAGCAACGACTTATACAATTCAAGAGTAGTTAATCTAAGTGAATACTTTGGGTTTTGATTTAGGATTTTTGTGTCTAGTCATACACATTTCATTACTACGACAGGTGGAAATCATAAGAACGTCTCTTTTATCCTTCAATTTGCTGACGGTAACATTTTCTTTTTGGCAAGCAATAATTTCACCCCGTTATAGCTTTTTTGCTTTCACATATTCCGGTGGATGTTTTCTATTTCTTCTTAAGAGTGCCTCAAAGATCAGCTTGATTAGCTAAAAGATATGAAAACTAGTATAAAAATTTTCTGCGACAATCAAACGACCAGCACCAAGTAAATTACGGCATAATTCACAACGATACTGCCAGGCTTATCCAAATTGTCTATTGTTTCGTCGGCGCCGCAATATATCTCATACTTCCAAGTATAGTCATCTGCAGTACATATCTTATAAATTTTTATTCCATATTTATTAGTTTTGGATGGATTGTATTGTCTAAGAAGAAGTCGACCTTTGAAGGGTACCATGGACTCATCAATTATAACGCAATCGCCAGGAGTGAGCAGTTGTTGAGATTTGTTTACGATTTTATCAACACGAGGCTGTACTTTGTATAATCTAATATTTGGATCTCGTCTGTCTTTCACTGTTGGGAAGCCTCACTATCCCCGAGTGACATACGCTATATATTATCACGCGACGGGCAAGGGGGGTAGAGGAGTAACTTTAAGTATCACGCGGGGGAATCTGCGCCGGTCAGCTAGTTTTAAAATAAAATTGTGTTTTGTGAAGTAATAAGTAGTATTAAATTTTCCCAATTAAATAGTATTTTCCAATTCTACCATCTACCAGTCTCATCATTTCATCTTTAACCACACTTTGGTTAAAAATGTGTTGGTCATGAGTTGACCCTGGGAATCTTGCATTTACATTAAGTAATCTACAATTTGAGTCACACACCTGAAACTATTTTTTAATACTTAGGTAGGTGGATACATTAGGTAGGTGTACATAAGATTAATAAAAATTAATATCACACAATGGTGGGGTAGCAAGCAAGCCTTACATTAGGAAAATAGGTGTAAAGAAAAAATATTTGTAGTCATGTTGCGAAATAAATTAAGTACTTAGGTACACTTACAAATTGAGTGTTAATAGAATAATTCCCTTTTCGGTTTTTGTACCCTATAGGTGGGTCATTAGCATCATTGTTATGGGGTGTGACAATAGCTATGTGTGTGCAGTCAATACACCCCAAACAATCTGGCAAGCCATGTGCAGCCTGAAACCCGCTAGCGACAGCCCTCCTTTCCTGAGCTGTGCTAGGGAATTTAATGTAAACATTGAGGAGTCTGTGCACAATGGCATGCGACACGTCCTTAACGACCTTACTGACCGTTCGTTGTGCCAATACAATATGGACTGGATCGGCACATGGTTAGATTTTTTTTTTAAATAAAACAGCAACGAAGAACAAACTTAAATTGCTACATATTGCTTTATTTTCAACTTTAATCCAGTTCTTCAACTCAGTCCGATTTTGGAGCTGCAACACTACACCGTTATCAAATTCGCGTCGCCCCAAATATGGCAAGGGTCGCCATGAGGGGACCTATGTTATTGAAACGAGTGTTTTTGTTAGAAGATGATTTATTACTGAATTATTAATGCAACGATCTTAATATTTATACATCTGACTTACTACTTATTACACTACAATAGAATTTTTAATATTCTAGACAAAAAGTCAAATGTCAAATAATTAATAAGCTTTCACGAATACTACAAAGAAAATATCATACAAGTAATTATTTGTTCACAAATATGAACCAAAATTCAAAAGTATTTTAATCAAAGAGTTTTTATATTAATATTCCAAATTTTTACATATAATTATAAAATTTTTACAATAAAAATATTTGTTAATAATAGTTTTTTATCTATATCACATCGGTAGTTGTTTGTTCCTGTTCAAAAATTCCAAAGTTATAGTTACAGTTTAACAGTATATATTCACTAGAATTTATCCTTCATCAAGACAACAAGAAAAAACAGTAGAAGAACTATAAAATTAATAACTTAATTCATATACCTATTTAACTGGATTTTATCGACTACACAGCTATGTTTAAAGGGAATGGTATTCATTAGATAGACCTGAAAAGAATTAGGGGAAAGTGGGGTAATTGGGAACACCGAACTTTCAACCCTGTAAAATAATAAAAAAAAGTCATAAGTGTAATCAACTTTTATTGCAACATGAACGTTACTAATCTAGCTACAAACAAATTAACTCAAAACTCTTGGAATTAAACTTTATAATAAAGAATATAGAGAAAATCAAAAACATTGCCGTTCGCATTTACTAATATCGTTTGGGGTAATTGAGATCAGTCCGCGGGGGAAATACGAACGATATGGGGTAATTGCGAACGACATACTTAAGTCTTAATAAAGTACTATAATTATTTAGTTTGGCATAAATCACAGACGTAACCCCTACTGCATTGGCCGCTGGTACATTGATCATGTGCCCAGTTGTTGCAAATGACGCACATGATCCAATCTTCTGTGGGTGGAGATTCATATCTTTCATTGCAAATTATGCAGAAATATTCCTTTTCATTTTCATTTCCTTCAAACACTTCTTTAAATTTCTGCCCTCTTTCCGCTTTAGTTGTGGCTTCTTTTTTGCAGTTTTAGTATTCTTTTTCATTACAAACTTCTCTTTTTTAATTTTCCTTTCAACTTGTCTTTTCTCTTTTTCCTCTAATTGTAATTTTATAGGTGTGCTGGACAAAATTTGCGAATGTTTTTTATTTCGTCTCTTGGAATGAATGGTTGTTGTCGAAATGATAGGTACATTTGTTATTTCAGAAAGTAGCACAGGAACTGATGGAGTAGTATTAAGGGTCATATCCATAACTCTAATAAAACAACGCTTGAATCATGGATACGAACTGAACTTTATTTCATATCTGACATTCGACACACAGATTACATACAAAGAAAATACATAGATGGCGCTACTGGTATATATATGAGTGATATTGTCGATACAAAATAGATATAAAATAACACCCCTACTTATCGCAATATCCACTATTACAGATAAATATAATTTTAATCTAAACAAACTACGCCAAGAAGCAACATACATTTATAATGCTTAGCTGAACATAAACTCTTCGTTAAAATATCAGCTGGCATATCAGCTGTTGGCACATACAGCACTTTAACAATTTTATCTTTTACTAAATCACGACAAAAATGATATTTGATGTCAATATGCTTAGTACGTTTGTGAAAGACTGGGTTTGCACACAGCTTCTGTGCACCTTGGTTATCATTGAATATGCTAATTGTATACATCTTATTGGTTATTTCATATTGAAATTCCTTAAGATATAATGCTTCTCTACATGCCTCAGACAGACCAATATACTCTGATTCTGTACTGGAGAGAGCTACACATTTCTGTTTCCTGCATTCCCATGATATTACACCATCAGATAACAAAAAACACATCCCAGTATATGATCTCCTATCTTCAGAGTTAGAAGCCCAATCAGCATCTACATAGCCTCTTATTTCTGAGTTACCATCTTTACAATATTTTATACCATAAGATTTAGTTCTCTTAAGATACCTTAATACTCTCTTTGCATATTCCCAATGCTGTTTAGTGTGGCAGTTATTAAATTGACTCAAAAAACTTATAGAATAACTAATATCTGGTCTAGTTAACACTGACAGGTACATCAAACTTCCAATCAGTTGTTGATAAGGCACACAATTATTTACACCTACTTCACTTTTGCATACATTTAATTTGACCTCCATAGGTGTATCAACAACTTTACAATCACTTAAATTAAATTTACTTAATAATTGATCAATATAAGTTTCCTGGCTCAAAGTTACATATCCTTTATCTTTGTTGAAGGTTACATTCATTCCAAGACATAGTTTAACTTCACCTAAGTCTTTAATGCTAAACTTATTAGATAAAATCTGTTTCAAGCTCTTAGTTTCAGTTTTATCATTAGAAAATATAAAGAAATCATCGACATAGACTGTTACAATGGTCTTACATTTGTCATTATCCTTTATATACATACATGGCTCTATTTTTGACCTTTTGTAACCATTACTGATCAAACAATTATCTACCTTTTTATTCCAGGCTCTAGAGGCCTGTTTAAGTCCATAAATGGCCTTTTTAAGTTTTAATACTTTACTAACTGAACTACTACTATCATAACAATCTGGCATTTTCATATAAATGGTTTCCTCTAAATCACCATTTAAGAATGCAGTCTTAACATCTAAATGGGTGACATCTAGACCTAGCTTTACAGACAATGCAAATAATAGTCTAAGAGTTGTATGTCTCACTACAGGCGAAAATGTTTCAGTATAGTCCACACCATGTTTTTGGGTGAAGCCCTTTGCAACTAGACGAGCACGGTAACGCACATTGTTTCCACTATCATACTTTTTTCGCAACACCCACTTGCACTGCACTATAGTACCATCTTTTGGAACATCAACGAGTTCCCACGCACTATTTTTCTCGAACGACTGTAGCTCATCCTGCACTGCCGCTAGCCACTGTGCTTTCTCAGGTCCTTCCAAGGCTTCTTGCAACGATATCTCGCCTGTGAACATTTGGTCATCTTCTATGCAACCACTTGCAAATCCAAATCTGTCTGGCTGCTGTCTACGCCGAGGACCACTTATTGTGTTGACATTGTTGAGTATTATGGAGTCTTCACTGTCTGTTGCACTAGACTCTGAGCTATCTAATGTTTCATCTTCGCAAGGTACATACAATTCACCACTGTCATCCATTTTCAAGCTCTTTGATTGTTCATGTGAATCTTCCTGAAGTGTCAGGTTTCTAATATAATTATGATAGAATATACTTTTTTAAGTCATTCTGTATACTTAACTCATTTAACCAAAATTTTGAAATCGGTCACTTTCGTTCTCAGCGTGCGATATGTTGGAGGAGGATAGTAATAGAGGCAAAAACTCTGTACGTGGCAAGTTTGATGGCAGCTATCAATTGATGCTGACGTTCTGCAAAATTATGGAACGTTCTAAGATCTAAGAAGAAGGAGAGACTTTTATCTTGCGATAGTTTTATGGTTCGGAGTCTAATCTACAAACTGTTACTCTTTTATTGCTTTTTCGTAATTTCAGCGGACTCTTGATTTAATTAATCATTAATTGATTCTCTGTCAATAAATTGAAAAGAGATTACTCACTTTGATGTCAGTTCATATTAATTTCATTAGGGAGTTCTCAAATTTTATTTACATAAATATCCAGAACTGACACTTTGTAATTAACAATCTATTTATTCATTCAACAATAATGGCCTCGTATAATGTTATGTGTTGTATATTTTTGTTGTTAATACAATTATCAATTTACTCGGATACATTTAGTTCTCTAGAGAACTTATGAGTGTGTTAATAACAAGAACTATGTGCTCTAATTTATTTTGTTCTCTCTAGGTGTTTGTTTATACAAATTCTTGTTCTAACACAAATTTCTGGATACACTGATCAGACATTTATATGGTGAAATTTCTCTTACAAACAGGGTTTTTTGCCATTTTATTTTATTTATTAATTTGATCTACCAACATTTGTACACATCATCACATACTTAAAATACACAATACACATAACTTAAAACTAGGTGTGACAAACATTTACAGGTAGATACATCATGCTTAATATTCCTCCCAGCGCGAGCCGCAGTAAAAACAAAACCAAAAATAATAAAAGGTAAACTTACAAAATAAAATAAAAAAATTAAATACAGAATGAAAAAATTAAATTGAAAACTAAAAATCACTTAGAGTATTTTTAAAATTATAATATATTTAATTGATAATAAATAGTAACTTATTTTTAATTTTAACATTAATTTTTATTATCATGTTTCGTCATTATCTAATTAATAGGCATGACTTTTGCTATTTATTCTGTAAAATGACTTAGGATATTTTTTCTTTTAGTTACATTGTCTTTCCTATTTTCTCCAAAACAAATCATTTGACAGTATATAATGTAGATAGAACTTAATTTTTTACCCTGAAAAATATTGTCTTCTTGTTTTGTCTAAAGAACCTTGAACTGTATTCTACATAAAATTTTACAAAAGTAGACTGATGAACTGATGTTTCAGTTTTGGGTGCTAAAAACGTAAACATCATCTGAAAATATTATTAAGATTATTTATATTTTACGGAAAGGACTCAAATTACATGAAAAATATACTACGAAGCACTGATTATTATTAAAATAAAATTAAAAATGTGTAACTATATTTATTTATTTATTTATTTGATCCACCAACATTTGTTCACATCATCACATACGTAAGAAAAATATACAATACACATAACTTAAAACTAGGTGTGACAAACATTTATAGGTAAATATATCATGCTTAATTTCTATCTAAAAAAAATTAAACTTGCCTTAATTAAACTTAAAAAATTAAACTAAACACTCTCACTTGCCTCATTATTCCCGTTATTGGCACCCTTGGGGTGTAAAAGAGAGTTGTGTGAACGCTTACACACGACATTTAACCTTGCTGTGGCATTCCCTGGCAGAGTGATTTTCACCCAAACAATTAAAACACAAGTTATTGTTAGTAACGATTTTGCGGCGTGCATCAATTGACGCCTTGTGAAACTGCGTACATTGATTAATTTTATGATTTCCTTTACAGAAGACACAAGTTACAGTTTTTGTAATATGTAACGCCTTTATTTTAGTTGTAATGTTAGTAGGTTTATTTGATTGTGACAACCGGTTGATAGCTGAAAATCGTTCTTTAAGGAAAATTTTCAAACAATTGATAAGTGGGCAATTCGTCGGAAGTAGTTTTTGCGGTACAATGAAATTCCCACTGACGACGTGTCTCTGGGTCTAGTTTTAAAATAATAAGATGAATGACGATTACATCCCATTCCTCAAGTTTAATTCCTAAACTTGCCAAACTTGCCAAACATTCATTTGTAGTATCTACAAGCTCTTTTAGCCCAACACTGGACTCGGTGGTATGATTTTTTTGGCTCAAAAGTCTTTTAAGAACGTGATGACATATCCACTTTTTATCATTGTATCGTTCGTTTACCACTAGCCAACATCGCTCAAAGTTTCCTTCCTCAATAGGTACATGTTTAATCAACTGTTCGGCTTCTCCCTTAAGGTAACATTTGAGGTAATGAAGCCTTTGAATCTCATACAGACATTCGTTATTATAGCAAGAGCTTTGAACGTTGTCCACTCTTGGTAATTCCCAGAAAAGTAAGGTATATTTATTTGTGGATAGTTTGCATGCATTCTATTTGAAAATTTAGATTTCGGTTCATTACTTTCAACTATTAATTTTGATTCAAATTGTTTAGATAAAGTTTTAAGATCACACTTATATTCTAAATACATTTCTTCAGCTTTGTCATAAACATTTTTAGTGACATAAGTTGAACTTTTAACATCTTTAGCTGTATGGCTTCTAAATAAGTCTTTGTGACCAGACAAAAATTCAAACCACAACTGTTCAAGATTTTCTAGTCTACTATCTACATATTCTTTAGTTATACGCTCTTTAGGCGATTTCTTAAAATTAGTCTTTGCCTTTACAATACGTTCATACAAATCTTCTTGGAAGTTAATAATGTTTTCCATGTTTACAAATTTAAATTACATATATAAAGCAAAAATGAATCTAAAAAATATACTAAGTCTTTTTAAACATTAATTAACAAATGTAATAAAAATATTCAAAGAATTATTCTAAGTGTTTGAATTACATCTATAAGAAATTTAAAAATTGGGCATGGATTCCCCGTACTTTCGTTTTTTTGTAAATTATTCTAAGTCCTAATATCATGCAAATTATTTCTAAGTTAAAATTAATACAATTATTTTTTAAAGTCTAAGCTACACAATATGTTCTAAGATAATTCACTGTAATGTAATTTTTTAAGTTCCTTGAGATTTTTTAAAGTTAATTTCTTCTAAGTAATAAGGTTCAAAGTACTTACAATTGTCCAGACACAGGTATTCACAACACTAATCACTATCACTTTTAATGACGTACTGTGAGAGAGGGACGCCCTGATTCCCCTCGGACCTCAGTACGAGCTGCTCCGTGGTTCCTTGCCGCACCCGATGCTGGCGCTGATGACGGGCAGATTCCGCCCACCGTGACCTGATTGAAATAGAGTGAAATGAAGTGTTTATTCAATAAATGTCACTAACAAACATTCTATTGTAGGATTTGAGAATTAATTCCAATTATAATCACTCAAGCAATATCATAGACTATTATATTACTTTTGTCAACAGAAATATTATATTAATAAACAATGCACAGGCGTTTTTTCAAAAATTTAAACAATTAATAATCTGTGTTATTCACCGAGAACATATTATTACACGTTCTATGTAGATTTATCTGCTCGATGAGACAACTTGATTGAGGATTGCTCATTTCACAATTGAGTTCAAACTATATACTACGTGTGATATTCGACTCCAGACACTTTAGTTCAAAATCAACCAGATATAATGATTTTTTTTAAGCGGATCTTTACTAACTGTGATGTTATCAGTGAAATATCTAAATATATAAAAAACTAGCTTTCCGCCCGCAGCTTCGCCCGCGTGCAGTTCGGTTATATCGCGTTTCCAAGAGAACCTGTTAAGTCTGGTATAAACACTATCTTATCGACGGTCGGGAGCCAAATGAGGCTAACCGCCAATATGCAAACTTTACAGGAGAGAGGTTTAAAGTTCAAAAAAAAAATTAAAAAATCATAAAAAAAATCTGCTTGATCAACAGGCTTAAAAATTTTGTCAGATAGCTTTTAAATGTGTCTCCTAAAAATGGCATTTTTAATTAAATTGAAACTCACCGCGTTCTTTAGTTACCGGTCGATTACCCTCAAAAGTTTCTGATTTAGAAACAGCCAAAACGTCCTAAGTCAAATTACTTTTGATTTCACTACAGGTCAAAAAGATCTAAATGCATATTAATTATTCTGCAAATGCAAGAAAAAAGCGTGTTAATAATATTTTAGTACGCATGAAGTGAGGTCAATATAGTATAAGTGATTATTCATTAAGAATAGGTGACAAGAAAATTGTGCTAAGTCAAAAATCTGTTAAATAATTAGTAAGCATTTTGAAACAATTAAAATCATTGCGAAAAAGTTTCAAAAGTGAATTACCTAATTAATAAATAAATAGAATTATTATGGCACAGAAAATCGAGTTTAGAAATACAACAAATTTTTGGCAAATAATCTTGTATTAGAAACAAAACAATCATATAACACTTTATGGAAATATGGCGACTTAAAGCATGACAATCACTGAAATGCTTAGATATTATTATTATATAATTATCAACCTTAGTTAAAATGTAGAACTCTTAAAACTTTGAGCACGAACTACAATCACAGAAATATTTATTTTTATTAAATAATTATAATTAGGTGTTAATACCCTAAAATTATACATTTTTGTTTAGGTAATAATTCAACTTAAAATTATAAATTTTCACAATTTTAATGTACGTACTACAATTACCTACAGAAATATAAATTCAAGACGACCAAAGAAATCCTTATATTTGTTAAAATATAAATTTATTAAAATCGGAATAATGTAATAATTTTAAGTTGATGTATTACAATAACAGAAATATTTTTTTAAAATTAAATATTATCAATGTAACTTAAAATTTACAGCTCATGGAGCTTTTGGTATCTACTACAATCACACAAATATTTATTTTTATTAAATAATTAATCAATTCAACTTAAAATTATAAATTGGCACAATTTTAACTGTACTGCAATCACAGAAATATATTTTCATGACAACCAAAGAAATCTTTATTATTGTTAAAATATAATCAGTCTTATTTAAAAATTCCAAATCTTAAAACTTTGTGCATGTACTACAATCACAAAAATCTTTATTTTTATTAAATAATTATCAAAGTTACAATTTCCAACTCTTGTAAGTTGAATCTATTATAGGGCCGTTTTCACCAAGCTGAGTTGGTAAGTAAACACGACTAGAATTCTTACGACAGTAACTGGAGGGAACAGCTGGAAGACTCTTTATGTAATTATTCACTAACGCTATTGTCAATTCCTTTGTTTTATTATGAGGCTCATGTCTACCACGATTATCTTCTTTAGATAATCCAATTTCAGAGTTTTGTATAGTATATTGAATAAATTTTACGCCGACATCCAAAGTGGCCGCTAAAAACTGAAGACAAACACATCTTTTGCCCCCACCTTCTGTTATTGAGTACTTATAAGAATATGAACGTTTGTCAGAATTAGCTCTTTTTCGGTTTATAGAATATGTTCTTTCTCAAGGTCAACTTTATCTCTGTACCAAATTTCATTAAATATCAGTTCAGTAGTTTAGGCGTGAAAGAGTAACAGACAGACAGAGTTACTTTCGCATTTATAATATTATCTTCAACACGAAAGATTAACGGAAGTAACCCATATTAAGGATCTTGGCATTTTTTTGGATCAAATATTAATATATATCCTGTACATTGATCATGTCGTTAATAAAAGTACAAAAAAACTTGGCTTTGTTTTAAGGAACGGTAAAATTTTCAAACACGTAAAGACCAAAATTCTTTTGTATAACAACCTTGTACGTAGCAATTTGGAATACTGCAGTATGGTCTGGCGTCCACATTATGCTACCCATCAGCTGAGGCTGGAACGTATACAGAAGCGTTTCCTATGGCACTTAGCATACACAGGGTATTGCTAAACAAATTTCATCTTACGCAAAGAGAATTGAATATTTTAACATGATGAACTTAGAAAACAGAAGAACTTTATTAGACCTAATATTCCTATATACTAGGCTGGCGGCCAAGTCGAGGGTTGCCCCGGCCTATGACAGCTGTCCAATCTCATATGTCAAACGACGACTGAGAGAGGGCGCGGTCCGGCGCTGGAACAGGAGGTACACCGAAGGAGCTGCGGCGGAGGTTACACGCATGTTCTTCCCTGATGCATGGTGCGCTTATCGGACGACGAGGTGCCTCGACAAGACGTCAGGGTGGGCGCAAGTGCTGACGGGGCATGGAGGTTTCGCGGCTTATCTTTTTAGGTTTAAACTCAAAACTAGTCCATCGTGTGTGTGCGACCCTGAGGTGGCTGAAACGGTGCAACACCTCCTCTTTGAATGCCCGATACATGACCGCGATAGGTGCGACCTGGAAATAAGTACTGGAATTGCAATAAATGAACAAACCATCTCAAAACTCATAGCAGATGAGCACTCCAGGTATCACCTAGAACGGTTCTGTATGAAAATAGTGAAGATTGCCAACGAAAGGAACAAAACAAGGGGGTGATTGCACCGTTTTTTAACCTTTTAACTTTTTAACCTTAACTTATTTAACTTATGTAACTTTTAACTTTTTTAACATTTTAATTTTATTTATTATAATTTGAATTTTATTATTTATGGCATTTTAATATTATGGCTCTGTACTTAGGGTAAATTATTTTAATTATACTAGTTTTAAGGTTATGTAATTATTAGTAATGTAATCCAACACTTAAGTTTTATTTATACAATTTTAGCGAACTTATATACCATGTCTTAAATTTAAATTTAATTTATATAATTTTGAGTTGTATTGTAATTTGAAAATATGTTTACTGTTGGAACAAATAAAGAAATGATTGTGTCAACTCCCCTACCACCTACAATAAATAGATAATAGATATAAATAGATAGATAGAAAGATACACACTGGTCAGAGGTATGAAAGGGATGGATGAAAGAAAGATTCAGTATGAACTATGAAAGGCCATCGTGAGTGCGAGAACTTGTATGGAAGGATTTTAACACTTGTAAACAAGGTCTCTGACCAAGTCAGAGGGAGCTGATAAAAAAAAATAAATTTCCTATATAAAATCGTTAGAAACAAACTTGACTGTCCCCATTTACTATCCAAATTTTACCTTAGAGCGCCATCCAGATACCCTCGTAACCCAGTAAAACCTCTCTCCGCACCACTTCGGAAAACAGTTTTTGGTAATTACTCAGCAGTTGCTCGAATGTCCAAATCGCTCAATGATTTCAGCGATTCAATAGATTTAAACATTGTAAGCCTTCCAAAGCTCCGATATCTAGTTATAGACAGAATTAAAAACGTCTAACTCTTTATTGATGTCCAAATTTAAAAATTTTAATTCTTAAAAAATTATACGTTATAATAATCATTTTTTTTTATTCGATTTATGGAACAATATTATTTTAATTCTATAACTTATCTTATATTAATAAAGAGAAAAGATTTGTTTATTTGTTATGAATAGGCTCCGAAACTACTGAACCGATTTCAATAATTCTTTCACCTTTGGAAAGCTACATTATTCCCGAGTAATATAAGCTATATAATATTTAAATAAAAATTAGGGATCCTTACTAAAACTCCAATAATGTAACCCAAGGTGAAAAAAAATGATCTGAAAAATTCCTTACGTCGCGTGCGCTGCGAAAACTATTGATGATAGAACAAAATCATTTACTACGACTTTGCAGAACTCATCATCATCTACAAAAAGTGTCGCGACAGCATATGTCTAAATAGTATAGTTATGTCACAGTAAGCGGTTTTTTAT